CGCGAGGTTGCCCGGCTCTCGCGCTCTGTCCAGGCCGCTGCGTGAGCCGCGGAGAGGCGAGGCGAGGCAAAGCCTCCTTGTTTGGCCGGGAAGGCTCCGCTCCCTCTCTTTTCCTGCGTGAACGAACCGGGGCTGCTCCTGCTTCCGTTCTGGGGAGCCGGGAAGTGATGGACGTTTTCTGACCTGAAGGGGCAAAGGCAATGCAAAGAGGTCCTTGATCACTGAGCTGAGACCTGTAACCCCGGCCGGCAGAGACCGGACCTGGCTGCTTCCCTTTGATCTGTTTTATTATGGAGGGGAAACAAAGCTGCCTCCTGCCCGGCACCCGGGGAGCGCGCATTCCTCAGGGACCCACCGCTGCCGGGGAGGCAGCCCGCAGCCGGCGCTGCCTGTTACCTCTGCCCGACCATGTCATCCTCGCCGGCTCCATTGTCTCCTCTCCTCCCCTGCCCCGGGAGAGCCATCTCCGCCCGGCGCCCAGCACCTGCTCCGGGGAGATCGGCCTCCCTCTGACCCGGTTAAAAAGGGGGAAGGAGAGAATGGAGCGGTGCTCTCAGATGACCGGGAAACCTCCGGGCCGGTTCCTGGGCTGCAAGGTAACGGGGTTGCTCCGCCGCTCGGTTCCGTCGCCTCCAAACGACTGCTCGCCCCGCGCTGCCCGGGGCATCTTCAGCCCCGCATTCATCTCCGCGGCAGCTGCGGGGCTTGATCCAGCCTCTCTGCGCCGCAACCCCCGGGCCGGGGTTTTATTTGCATTCTCTAATTCGTGGGGGTTAAGATTTCTGTTTCTCCACTCCGCACCTACAGACTAAATTAACTTTTCTTCTCCCTCCCACCCCCCCACGCCGTGTTGTTGTTTTTTTTAATGGCGCAATTATCTCATTTAACAATTTTCTTTTAAAAAAAAATACTGTGGCTCTTAAGTTGGTGGTCAGGAGACAAAGGGAGTGAAAATAATTTTCATTTCAATAATTGCCTTCTGGTCAATTTAACTGTGCCTTATTTTGAAAGAGCCTGTCTAAATGAGATTCCTGTCCCAAATGTGTTCCCAGGCCTTAGCCCAGCCTTTAATTATTCCTGAGTTTTTTTTTCTTCAGAATAAGACGCTGCACTGAGTAATCACAAAGAAGTCAGAGAGCATCCTTGAACCTTTTCAATAGCAGAGCCACTGATATTCAAATAACATGCAAGGACCATTTGACTGCATGGGGACATAAGCATTTCCAATTCACTATTTGCATAGATCAACTGTCTTTGAAAAGGAAAGGAGCAGTTGTCTTCCATAACATTAAAAAGCCTAGTTATCAAATCAAGTGCTTAGTTTGGGGCTTTTAAAACGTTTACATTTTATCTCAGGTTGCCCTTTACCGTTTGACATGCAAATTCGGTGCAGTTAATTTAGACAATTAAAAGGATCTTCAAGGGAGCTTTGTCACCGAGAATATTCGGAGTTTTCCCCGCGGACCAGCTGAGATAAAGTTGGCCAGAACAAATGATGTCTAGGAGATTAATTAGATATTTGATAAGACATGAATCCCTAATAAGGGAATACAAGGCACAGGGGGCTGCTATGTGCTCTAAGTCAAAATTAATAACATTTAACAAGATTTTCATTTAGGCATGAAATGTCTTTTCCGGAGTATTGACTCGAGCGGTTTATCCCCCGGAGATCACCTCCCAGCCTGGGAAGCCTTGCGGTGCTAAGGAGAGCCCCCCCTCCCCCCCATGATTAAATAAATCGCTCCTTGGCGCGGGCTGTTTTCTCC